TCGGTCAGTAAAATAATTTTAGCCGAATTTCAGCCCTTGGATACACGCCTAATGTGTAGTAGGTGCGTTTTCGAGGCCTCAGTGGCGTCGCTACTGAATTCAACCTTTTACCAGCCCACGTCAGGAAGCAAAGTGCCGTAATTTCTCACATAAATCAGGACCGTTGCAGATCTCCTGGCATAGGAAGCTATCTGGTTCGCCGCATCGAATTTTGTGAATATCAGTACTCATTGGTATTTTGGCAGATTTTGAATAATTCATATTGCCCAACTGTGAAAAACTCGGCGCCTCGGTGGGATTCGAACCCACGCAATAAGGGGAAGGCTTTAGTACAGCCGACGATCTAACCAATTGAGCTACGAGGCCCCGCCGGACGACGCGAGTTTAATTACATTTGGGTAAAGTTTGCCTGCCCAACCTACTGCAACGTCTGGAATCCACCAAACCTGATGCAGTAAGTTGAATGCCCAGGCAGGATTTCCTAAGTAATTCACCTAGAATCCACCAGATGACTACAAGGCTCACGTAATTCATTGGTATTTTGGCAGATTTTGAATAATAATTCAAGTGGTTAGAGCGTTGGCTGTACTAAAGCCTTCCCCTTACTGCGTGCGTTCGAATCCCACCGAGGCGCCGAGTTTTTCACAGTTGGGTCAATATGAATATCAGTATTCCTATGCATAGTAACCGCTCTGCTCTTTGGGACGGGGGCTCGGCTGCTCCCTCCGCAGCCGGTATGACTACTCCCTACCCAAATCCCTCCTTCCACTCCACTCCCTTCCCCTCACGGTTGAAAAGTCCGGCGGAAGCCACAAATAAGCACGTAGGCGGCCCAGGCCATTGGTTGTTCACTCACTAAATCATTCCGTGACCCATAGTAGAGCTCGACAGCCGTCTGGAACGACTTGGTAGCCCTATTTAGGGACACCCGTGCTTACCCCATCGCGAGGGAGTGGCTGGAAAAGGTGCCCTAAACAAATGTTGAGTTCACAACATCTGCGCGCAGACTGCACTACATGCGGTCGAAACAAGAAATAACAATCTCTCTTCCTCTCCTCTCCGCACCACCCCAGAGACTGCTAGGGTGAGTCAGCTCACTCTGGCAGCCTGGAATGTTCGCTCCGTTTTAAACCATCCCAGGACCGACGAACCGAAACGGAGGACGGTGCTATCCGCTCGGAAACTGACGCGATACAAGGTGGACATCACTACGCTCAACGAGACCCGATTATTCGAACAAGGACAAATGGAGGTGGGTGTAGGCTGCACCGTCTTCTGGAGCGGCCACATCAGGGCAGAGCGAATGGACGCGGGCGCCGTTTTTGCCACCCGGAACGACATCGCGGACGACTGCTCCGTCTACGTAGGACATCAACGACCAACTGATGAACCTGCGTCTGCCTCTTTGGGGGTCCTAATTCGCCACCATCATTAGCGCCTACGGCCCACCAATGACTAGCTCTGACGAGGCGAAGTCCAAGTTCTACGAAAACCTGCACGCCCTTATGGCGTCTGTGCCGAAGGCGGACAGGTTGATTGTCCTTGGAGACTAATGTCCGCATCAGGACAGACTGTGCCGCCTTGAGGGGTGTAAGGTCCTTACGGGATCGGCGGCCGGAACGATAATGGTCTTCTGCGTACATGTGTTAAACATCGCCTCCTGATGACCAATACTGGCTTGGCGATGAGGAAGAAGGCGACCTCAATGCGCCCCCGATCGCGGCGCTGGCAGCTGACGGACTTCGTTCTCGTCCGACGGTAAGATCGACGGAACGTGCTGGTGACTTATTTAGGTAAATGGACTGGTAAACCAGTGCCTGGACTACCCACATACGCCAGAAACATTCGCCTCGACTGCCCGCTTTGCCCTTGTACATTCACCCACCGCATGGACCTATTAGGTCACATGTGCATTCATGAAAATCTGCGGTAGACCGCCGGCGGCCGTACCACACGATCCAAGTTTCCCCACCGGCACCTACCACACGCACCAACAGCACCCACTACCACACAACGAAAGCACGTCGGCGGAAGTGCGAAGTGTGCTCCTCGGCTCCTCTGCTGCATGTGCGATCCGAGATTAAGACTCACGCTACGCCAAGCGCAGTAGCTTGGAAGGTTGCCGCTAACGCATCAACTCAGCTCGCGTAGTCTGCCAAGTTGTGTTTGTTTGGAGTGACGGACTGGTGGGTTGAATGCTTGGCTACAACAGCTCCTTTCTAATGTGACCTCTGACACTATCACGCATGTACGGAGTGTGTGTAGATGGGCAGTTCCTCTCAGTCGACTGAATGGCTACCCAACCTTGGAAGACGATGGCCTAGGCTACATGCAGGGCTGCATCTCACCCTCGTGGGCTTTAAGCATTGCGTGCGTATGCTATGTCACGCTTCAGCAAACTATGAGCCCTCACAGACTGGTGAGCGCTGGCAACTCTGGCACCTGATTTCCTACCAATAAATGCGTTTGCGCTCCCGCCGGGCATACAGGCCGTGTGCATGGTTGCCCGGTGACTTGTGTCATCCTTCTCTTTCTGACCTGGCTTGGAAGACATCCAACCGACCCGGTATGTTTTTGGGGTGGCGGACTGATGGATGGTGAGAGTCAGGCTGCAACGTTTCCTTCTTAATGTAGCCTCCAAGGCACTCCCATTCCCTGGGATCCGAGCCAGGTATGGGAGCGTGCCTGGAGGCGGCCCCGGTCGTGCCAGCCATCCCCCTTATTTTTGTTGGAGTCTAAATCTTTGTATTTGTACTAAACACCATGGTTGTTGATGCAGGCCAAGTTACAGGCTGTCTCCACGTCAATTTGGGTTGTGAGCAGTCTTCCCTTCTATTTTTTGATGTGAGATTCTGGTCTGTGGACCAGGGGTTATGGTGGTAAGCCTACGTGCGGGTTCGGCCGTGACAACTACCAATGCCCTCTCTCGTCTTCGGTCTTCTTTATTATGCCATAACACTGGGATCCGGAGAGTGTGGTAGGTACTGTGCAAGTATACTGTCACAATAGCCTAATTCAAGAAAGTCACCGTGCCTGCTTTCAGCTTGCTTTGAGCACACAGTGGACACCATCGAAACCAACGGTCGAACTGTCACTCACGACCTTGGTGGACGAAAGTCACCTAAGGCGTTAGGGTGGTAGATAGGACTGCGAGAAGTCAGACAATGTGCCTACATATGTAGTATCTTAGAACACACAAGCCACGTGTGGATGCGAAGATTGGTGAACAAAGCAGAATCTGCGGACTAGAACTAGCCTTTGAGATGTGACTAACTATTCGCAGCCAGCAACGCAGCGTATTTCAACTCCCACATAGTTTTTCATGGGTTATTGTCTCCGCGTGGTTTTACCCAGTGTGGCAAATCTCTAGGTTCGGACAAAAATACCGTTGCTGCTCACTATCCCTAATTTTTGGCGAGGATTTGTCTTCTGCTGCCTCGGCCTTACCGTCTACGCTCCTTGTGCGTGTTAACATTCCTTACAAGGCTGTAGGACACTGATTTTTGGTGAAAATTGATCACTTCTAACTCCGCTGACGCCACTCACGCGCTACCTGGGAGCTGCCCTCGTTACCAGCGCCTTAGTTTTCCTAACTATATGACCGAAACTCCCCATGGAACTCAAGAAATACTCCTGCCTATTTGGATTCGATGGCATTTGGCAGACGTCTTATCAGCATCGTTTCGCGGACAGCTCAGGCAAACTACAAACCTTGCGTAAGACCCCCTCGTCATCAGGCAGGGCTGGGGATTAGTTGGGCAAGCATTCTCATAGGGTTGTCTAAGACCTGCACTTTTGCTCAAACGAACTGCCTTCCACACCTGCTAAGCATTTGTGTTCTTACTTTGAAGGGGAAGATCATACTCTACGAAAGCACCATATTACCTTCTTAGACAGGCCCGGGTTAACGCTGGGTGAACAAAACAGTTCCTAAAACAGCCCCACCTGTCCAATTTGATTAAGGCACTTCAGCCGTCCCACCTCCCCAGACTAAGATGAAGCCTACGGTTTCAGACTACTTCGAAGCTGAAAAATGAACTTGGTTATTTCGTGCGCCAACAAATCGACCACACCAACTTAAAACAAAAAAGGAGTTCCTACCCTCCTACACGCTTTTCTGAGAAAGACGGAAACTGCGAAAGGCGTCCGGAGTCTAAATCGTAAACCTTTTTTTAAGGGCTAAATTGATCGTAATATACTAGTAACTCTTGAGCCAGTGCGAAAGACACTTCTAACCAACCTTAAAGCGCAAATTTTCTCCGACACGATGATCCATAGACTTGATGGGCGTCGGAGAGGACAGCAATGGGTAATTCTTGGTCTGAAAACGTCTCCGAGTCAGACTAAGCTTACTACCGACAGACGATTCTGCGGTTTATGACTTCTGTTACATAACCCTAGTATGGGCAGCAATAAATGCGTCTACTAAGGAGTAGGAACGGCGGCTGAAGGAATGACATACTTGAACGGATGAATGACAAAACAAGTTTCCCCTATTCGTTACGAAGTCCTCAAAGACCGCATTCCACAGTGACGTCAGTCAGCCAGGGCCTCGTATTTAAAATCCGATATCACGAGAAAAGAAAACTTGTGTCGAGGTGAAAGGGAAAAACGCAAGCCTTCACTTCCCAACGAAAATAGCCGAGATGAGACAAATACCCAGATTATGGTGAGGGCACAGGGCCAGTGTGACTGCAGTTGTTGTGTGCCACCGTTTCCAGGTTAATCGGTGGGTCGCCAATGAAAATGAAACGAATGGCCATGCTTATGTAAGGCATAAAAACGCGCGGAATTATCAAAATATATTAAAATAGGACAAGACTGAAGTACCACAAGACTGCAAAACGCGTACTGTGGACATGGACTTGAGACGATAATTAGACGTGTTAAGAATGGGGGGGGGGGAACGGAATGAAGGCGGGAAGAAACCTCCCTCGGACCAAAAAATCATGGCAGTCCGAATGAGGTCGAAGGTCCAGATAGCGACATTTCGTGACCAGTCAGGCCGCAAAATAGCGACCAGTCGACACCGATTGGCCAGCGGATTGAGTTGAAGTGAGCTGTGTCCAGCATGACCGGAACGGTTGGGTACACAATTCGGCATAGCCGCCAAAAAAGACAATGCGATCCGATAATTCGTCCTCGGATGGATATTTTGAGCAAATGAGCACTACAATATGAAGGAACCAGTTAGATAAACCGAACAACCAAAATCAATCATCGAGTATGGAGAGCCAAAGCCCTTAGGAACAATTTCACAGAAAGACTGTCGAGTAAAGGCATATAGCGTCCGCAGCGGGATCCCATAGTATTTCTTAGAAAAAGACCATAGCGAGTACGGGGAAGCCAGCTCTGGTTTGGGCAGATACGACTGGCTGGTCAAATTTGCACGATATTCATGGAGGTCATCCAAGAGAGCTGAGTGGTAGGCGTATTTCACGACGCAGCTGGCCTGCATTGCCGCTCACCGCACAGGTGTATACGTTAGGAGAATAACGACGTTCAGAACAAAAACGTACAGGTTTCACGAATGGAAGTGAATATACGGGTCCCAGGTTCTTGTTGAAATAAAAACGAACGCGCAATCACTGGGACAGGTTTACTCCCGGACGATAACTCAACATTGGCAAAAACAAAACGTCGGTAGGATCGTTCGAAAGTCACGATCTGTAGACGCACCCGAACGGTTCAACGTGACATATACTGCAAATTCGGCTTAACGCCATTGGGTGGAGGCTGCGACTATCCTCAAGCGAGGGAGTATTTATTAGGTTACACACGCCGCCTACTTCCCTAACTTCCTCTGTTGCACCGGTCGCAAAATCCATGCAAACATGAAGGTACTGAGTGCCTTCGTCAGAAGTTGGCATATCCAGTCCGGTTTCATGTGCCACTTTTGTGACGGAGACACGATTGCTAGGACAAGAGCATTATTCGCCGAACGTTTCGGATTCCTGCTCGAACCCATCAGCAGAGACAGTATCACATACGGGGGTCTTTGAGGAGTTCTTTGCTAGGAGGCCCATTTCCGAAGTTAAGGTAACGATCGGGAACTTGTAAGACTGTCTACATGAACACAATATACATGCTGGCAAGGATGTCGTCGGCAAAGAATTATATATTGTTCCATTTGCAATCGAGAAAGATCTATGTTCTGGTTTTGAGGATGTAAGTGGCGGCTAACAAGGCCCGAATTGGTAACCTGTCAGCCGTTTTCTGATTATAGCTAACACGAGACAGTCTTACGGAGGTCTTAGACTGATTCTAGCCCAGAACATACCAAATATTTTGCCATAGCCATAGTCAGGGACAGTTTACTGCTAAGACGGGCCAGAGCACTGGGCAGTTTATCTCGATGTTTGAAAGATTGCCGCCAGCGCTGAGGGATATCACTGTCCCGTTGAGGCGACAGTGACCTGTACTGTCGCTTATAGCAAAGCACCCACCACGCTTCCGACTTCCACACGCGCCGCTTTCCAGTAATGATGCCAAATCAAGACGGCATCATTCGGAAAAGCTAAGTAGTTCGTCTACACGTGCCGCACACGGCGCGGGCAAATCACGTCTCAGTGATGGGGGCAAAGAGTCTCATGCCTCACATGAGCCAGACATCGGGGTAGATAAATAACAGGTTGATGGCCAAAACTGTATTTTCCAGTAGCGAATGTGGTCTTGTCCACTAGTCGATGGAGAATAACTTGGGAGTAAGTCGTCCAAACCGATAAATATCAGAGCCTCAAGTAGAAGGAAAGGAGACTCGTGTTTGACGGATATGTAGAAGGACTTTCGCTTGCGATTGTATACTTTTAAAGTAGTGCACGTCAAAGAGGTGGTCGCAAGATCTTACGCTAGTGAAGTGAGCCGAGCTATCGTTAGAAAGAAATATTCTCCAGAAGAAATCACCCACATTACTGCTTTACGTATTTTTCGACTGGGTGGTTATGTGCACATCAAGAAGCCCTGCTTTATGTAGTCCTAACACTTCAAACAGTGTACTGAACATTCCACGAGCTTACCGTTATGGCGAAAGCTGGTCTGAACCATTGAAAGCGCTCAGTGAAGATAGCCGGCTGAAGATTTCTTTCTTGGGAAACTTATCCGTATCCCTCGTAGAGGGCATGAGTTTAACACGTTCCCTTTTGCACCATTCTTCCCAGTCGGACCTGATTCCAGAGATGAACAGATGCTGCTCTTTTCTCCTTCTGTTAAGCAAGAGCAAACTGCAAACGCACAATCTGTATAACTTCCTAATACGCTGCTGCAGGGCGGTCGGGTTACTGGTCAAAGAGCCCTGTGATTCAGGGTATAGGTAGCGAGAAAAAGGAGCAAGGACAGGGTTTTCGTCTATAGCCTCATTCGAGATTGCATTGACTTCTACATGATGATTGGCGAGGTCCTCAAGACCTGACAGGAATTTTGGCCATTCATTCAGTTCTTCAACGTAACGATCATACAGCTCCTCAGCCGATCCGACCACAGTCCGTTGATCTGAGCATACGCAGGGGTCCACTAGATTGCTTGAATGCGAGCTCTCTGGGACCTTGGAGGGAGGCTGATCGACGCGAGCTAGTAGTGGACACTCTGAAACCTGGGAGGGTGGTTGGTCGTTCAGAGGTGGCAAATCTGGCTTTGCCGGCTTAAAGTTGTTCAGCTGATCCGGCGTTTTGCGGTGTTCACGAAATGAATCAGGCTGCATGTCAAGAGATTTCCTGGCTATGGTGACCGAGGGACGCGGGGAAACTGAGATGCCATGCAGCGGCCAGCCCAGACTTCGGCGACGAACAAGCACCTTCGGACTGCTGCTGTTGGAATGACTTACCACAGGGATTGGTAGCAGACTGCGGCGAGTGGATTTTCGCCTTGTATTCTGTGCTAGGGCAAGTTCGTCGGTAGACATTTCTTCCACATCCTCAAGATCCATCTTATAGATGCGTCCCGGGTGGGCAGAGCTTTTAGCAGAACTAGTGTTGCCAAACGAAGTAGAAGCACTATGGCAAATCAGTGTTCAGTGGGAGAAATAGTGAGGTAAGATGATCCTGACGGAACGAAAATTCAGAAATCCAGAATTTGATAACTATTACGGATGGCAGTTGCAGTAATGGGACATGTGGAACCCTTGCTGCCTAGGGCGGTTGACGAAAGCCGGAGATAAGCCGCATGATCAAAGGAACTCTGTAAAGAAAGAGGAAGTAAGTAAATAGATGAAACATGTCACTGCACACGGCTGTTTCCAATTAAAACAGCACCTTCAAAGATTCGCTGGTCGCCTCGTTAGCCGCTTTGAGAATGTACTACGGCCATTTCTAAGGAGCAGTACTATTGCACCTATATCGAACTGCAACTACAACACACACTTAAGGGACTAATAAGACTATGCTTTTGTCATACACATTAGAGTTTACCGGGGTGCCCTCAAAACGGGCCACGTGTTCGATGCGCTGGACCAACACGGGGGCCACATCGGACTCTGGCAGGCGTTATCTGTGTGCAATAACAAATGCCAACATTTGCAAGGTGCTCTGGCAGACCCCGTTGTCGGCAGTAGTCGCACAACTGGACAACTGCCATCACCCTATTGTTCTGTGGTCAAAATCCTGGTCATTTGTGTGTGGACCAGGGGGCGCGGAGTGAAGCGCCAAGGCGAGGATCCGTCCGAGCCATCCACCTGCGGCCTCCACCGTCTCCGGTCTTCTTGACTTGGTCTTGACACCGGGCTCAGGCGGGGGAGAGTGTAGGTAAATGCTACGCAAGTCTACTGGCACTATAAACCCCTGCGTACGTCACCGTCCCTGCTCCCACCGCTGCTGCAGCTGTGGGGCACACGGTGGACATCATCGAAATCGATGGTCGAACTGTCAGTTTACCGGGAACCAGCATACTCGAGTTATTGAGGTTCAAAGACGCAATGTAACTGGGAAATTTCGCCAGATAATTACCGTTATTGTCAGCAAGGTCTTCGAAATATGGCTACAAGGCTCTTAGCTGTACTTCTGTGTCCTAGGAATACTTTGAAGTCTTATTTTTGACTGTCCATGGGCAGCTACAGAAGACTTCACAGACAGTAGCGTCTCAAAATGTCAAATCGTGATAATTTCGAAAGTTCCGTTCGTCAGAAGCTGTTTCTATTTTGATCCACAGACATCTGCTGTACAACAGACAACGCGTTTTAGAGTCAACGGCGGAAACAGAGATTCTAAATGGCTGACACCACGCGATGCTGTCAAAGCTATCAAACAGCTGTCCAAGAGCAAACTAATGCAATCCTGGGTTGTCACAGTGGGAGTAAACGGCATCCATTTATGGGATCAGGAATTGCCACCCAGAATACGTCCAATAAAACGTAGGTCGAACAATCGAATTACGTCCCTTTTAGCCACTTTGTCGAGTAATTCTAACCATATAGATGCACGGTGCGCATGACGTCCGGAATTCGGGCCTTACCAGCGATGCCGATCAAACGACGGTTTCCCGTGCCTTTCAGGAAGCCAATAAGAATTAAGTAACTGACGTCATTACAGAGGGCAACCTGTGTTAAGAAAGGCGGCCTGGGCACTATTTAAGTGGTATCATTCTACTTTAAAATTGTTCATGATACGACTCCAAGCTTCGTGTCCGTGAACTCGCGAAACTATTGCAAACAGTGAAATGAAAGCCAGGCAAACATGCATTATAGCGAATGAAATCTGGCGAAACAAACGTTTATGTGAATTCTTTCACCCACAACAATACCTGGAAGACAGAGTTGTAGACATTCGGGCGCACGGCAAGTCTCATGTCTCAATCGAGTGAGCCGAGCACATGCGCCAAGCGCCACGTGGGCGGACAAGCGCGCGTATGCATGGGTGCTTTGGCCATGAAGACGAATAGTCGGTAACCAGTAATCGTTCTGACTGAGGCCCTGACATTTATCTGTTTGTATGACTTACTCCCAAGTTATTCTCCATCGACTAGTGGACAAGACCACATTCGCTACTGGAAAATGTAGTTTTGGCCATCAACCTGTTATGTATCTACCCCGATGTCTGGCTCATGTAAGGCATGAGACTCTCTTTGTCCCCATCACTGAGACGTGATTTGCCCGCGCCGTGTGCGGCACGTGTAGACGAATCATTTAGCTTTTCCGAATGATGCCGTCTTGATTTGGCATCATTACTGGAAAGCGGCGCGTGTGGAAGTCGGAAGCGTGGTGGGTGCTTTGCTAAAAGCGAAAGTACAGGTCACTGTCGCCTCATTGGAACAGTGATATCCCTCAGGGCTTGCGACGGTCTGTCAAACACCGCGTGCTCTGGCACGCCTTAGCAGTAAACTGTCCCTGACTATGGCTATGGCAAAATATTTGGTATGTTCTGGGCTAGAATCAGTCTAAGACCTCCGTAAGACTGTCTCGTGTTAGCTATAATCAGAAAACGGCTGACAGGTTACCAATTCAGGCCTTGTTAGCTGCCACTTACATCCTCAAAACCAGAACATAGATCTTTCTCGATTGCAAATGGAACAATATATAATTCTTTGCCGACGACATCCTTGCCAGCATGTATATTGTGTTCATGTAGACAGTCTTACAAGTTCCCGACCGTTACCTTAACTTAGGAAATGGGTCTCTTCCTAACAAAGAATGACATATTATGAAACCGGACAGGATACATCAACTTCTGTCGAAGGTAGGCGGCACTCTCATCTGTGCATAGATTTCACGATCGCTGCAACAGGAAAGATTTCCGAAAAATAAGCGATTTAGGCTAGTAGATACCCCCTGGCTATGCCCTCCTCCCCCTCCAAACAGGGGGGCCTGATCGGCGTGCGGTACACGTTATGGGACTGCATGCATCATAACAAACGCCAGGTATGGCGACAAGCCTTAGCGCAGGTCCGTATGGCGTCAACCACCTGCCCGAAATTGCATCCTGTCTTCTTGACTGTCTTGAGAGCGGGCCTAGGAGGGTGAGGGAAGGGCGTGGCATATGCAGCGCGAGTCTATCATCACTAAAAAGTCACGCGCAAGTCACCGTCCCTTCGGTTACTCCACTAGAGGATATACGTTGGGCGTCGTGGGTAACGACGGCCGGACTGTTAAAGAAGACTGTTTTCTAGGATTGCTCACCAAGCACACTTTCGTATACTCTAGGTGATTTCCGATCCATTAACTAGTGCTGCTCGACTTCATTTCGACATGATAAACGAAATATATTCCTACACAAGCTGCCGACAACCAGGTGAATACACGGCCTTCCCGGTAAAGCCTGTCCGCTTAGCCAATGCGGTTCTTCATACGGAGTGACCACGACCACCTGCTACTACGCTTCGCCGGCTAATAAGAGACATTTATCTTGAGAAATAAAGCATGCATGCATACATAATGCTAGGTGCGCGCACTCAGCTGTAAGAGACTTTTGGGACATACGAGAAATCACGGAAAAATTTGCTAGTTTTGCGTAGAAAAATGATCAAGTGTGTGCGGTTGTCTACTCCGGAGACGAAGTTTTGACGATGGTTTTCATGGAAAAGATGGAACCCCGTGTAATGTAACTGGAAGTCAGCAGCGAACGGCCAAACCACCATACCCAAACAAATCGGCCGAGAAGTCAAAAATGAACCTTCGGTCCGCCATACGAATCAACCACGCGTTCAAACAAAATATGATTTGTCATTACTGCTACGACTCTGAATGAAAGGGGATTGGCATGTTGGTCTTATTCTTTGTAAAATTCTGGCAATGCAATATACAGATGTCCTTAACACATCACATCGAAAATACAAAAGAGGTATCCCGAGCAATCTCGAAGGTATACTTAACTTTGGTTTAGCATTTCAGGGCTTCTGCATATAGCACTCGGACACCGAAGCTAGTATAAGTCTATTGACGAATCATATTTAACCAGAAATATAGTGTTCCCCTGCACGGATCTGTTTCCTAGTGAAAAATCGCTTTAGCCATGGCTTCATGGAACCATTACCCTCTCTTTTTTTTACCAACCTGCCGCAGATAACGAGCACTTTTCTACACATTGACTGATGACTTCTACGACTGATTTATTTTCCTTATATTTCTTCTACGTTGGTTGCTACCGGTAAATAACTTCTTCTTATTTAACCGCGTTCATTGTCTGATACCGTTATGGGAGGGTTACGCGCGGGTGCACTTAGATGTCTACATACGTTTGACTCACCTGAGAGGATGTCAGGTTCCGATGAGCCATACGTAAGACATTGCAATAAGGACAAAACAGTCGTTACCTTAAGATGGGCGGGGAAAGGCGGAAAGGAGGCGTCCCGCTGCGCATTTCTTCTCCTGAGGGTGGTAATGTGTGGCCGCTACGTCGAAAACCCTGCCAAAACCCCGCGCTCCGCCCCCATATAGTCCCGTAATGTCACCTAAAGCCCCGTGGGGTCTTATGAGATTCGAAAGGGCTGGTGCTGGCAAGGTTTCCAAGCATATCATTCACCTAGTTGCCTGAAATGTAGGTTTTCGAACTTCGATCATCTTCACTGGTCGGGATCACAACTGTACATGTCGGAGTCTGCTTAGAAGATGACGGACATTTGAGACAAAATAGTCAAAGAATAACGGGAAATCTGAAAACATCCTTTGGTTATGGGACTAGGAGCCAATGAAGTCAGGACTGCATCCCGTGTCTAAATATATCTGGTAACTCCGACAAGAGGCATCTCTCTTCTTACTTCTTCATCCTATGCATGCTGAGTAGGCAGTTGTATACAACAAATTGCACACTAAAGCTACCCCATCTAGTGATTAATTGAGCCGATGACATTCACATCAAACACTGACAGGAATACTTTGCCAAAGCTACAGTCTACTAAATCGCCTGCTTCGGACGGCATATCCGGAAACGCTTTGACTGAACCCCCAAACCAAATTGCGTCTATGTTCTGCAAGTTTTTCAACACTAAGTGGAGGCAAGG